GTGCAGTGGTGTTGTTCCCCACCTTGTTCTTGAAAAAGGGGATTTTACTCTACTTAATTGCCTCCTCTGATATTACAAGCCAGGAAAGGCTGGTTCTGGCCTTTAGAAGGGACCTCTGAATTACAGTGAGTCTCCTGGGAAGATGCATAGAAGACAGAAGTGAGGGAAGGGAATTGGGGCCTGGAACTATTTTGAAGGGAAAGAAATAACAACTGTTCAACATTTGGAGAGAGGGAATTGACATACAATCAGAAAGTAGGTTGTTGGCATTGTCAGCTCAGAGGATGAGACATAGGAAGAAATGCTTACATCTATCCCCTTCTCTCCCAGGCCCTCACTTCTCACTTGGACTCTTGTCATAATCTGATAATTGATCTTCTTTTATTCTTTCCTCTCTAATCCCTCCCACATACAGCTGCCAAATTGACATTCCTAAAACACAGCCATGACCGCTTCACTTCCCTTTTGAAAAAGATTCAGTGGCTCCCTATTGCCTCTAACATAAAATGTAAATTGTTCATCTTAGCAATTAAAGTCCTGACTGATGTCTCCCAACGTGTTGTTGAGTCATTTTTAGTCATATGTGACTCTTTGTGACCCCATTTGGGGTTTTCTTGGCAAAGATACTGGAATGGTTTGCCATTTCCTTCTCCAGCTCATTTTACAGATGCAGAAACTGAGATAAATAGGGTTAAGTGACTTGCCCAGGGTCACACAGCTAGTAAGTGTTTGAGATTAGATTTGAACTCTGGGAGATGAGTCTTCCTGATTCTAGGCCTGGCACTCTATCAACTACACCCCCTAGTTGCCTAAAAATAACCTCTCAACTGTCTTTTCCTTTTGCCTACATGTCTTCCAGCCAATCTGCCCCGAAAACTCTTCTGTATATAGAATATGCAATCTGTAACTACCATGCTTTTGTTGTTCTCTGTGCCTGGACTACTACTCTTCTTCCTCCCCTTTTCCTCTTAGAATCCTTACCAGCCTCAGTTCAGGTGCTGCCTCCTATGATCTCCCCATACTTTTACTTTAGTACTTTTCCCTCATCTGACATTACCGTCTATGTACTTTGACTGGTATGTCTGTGTGCATGAGTTATCCTTCCAATATAATTCAATCAACATTCACCAAGAACCTGCTCTGTGCCAGGGAAATGAGATCTGATGCCACCATCCTACTTAAAGCTGTGAGACTTTATTTTTTCCTCACTTACCTAGGCACCCAAGTTTACTAAAAGCCTCCTTTATCTCTAGTTCAATATGGTGGTTTTCTGCACCCCAGATTTCAGTCTTACTGTCTTCCTGCATTTTGGGATTGTAGGGAAGGCCATTAATTCATTCTGGCTCCTTCTGAGCCACGTCATTGCTCTTGTCATCTCAACCCCCTATTGTTGCACTCAGACCCACAGTGTAGAATCAAAGCAAATATGTTGGAGATTAGTTTCCAAATACTGCATGGTTGCCCTAAACAGAATAAAGGCACCTGCAGGTTTCACATCCCCGTAAAGAAGACTTTAAAGAGAAAGGGAATACTTTATTCTTGTTTTCAGTAAGTCCATGATTTCTGACCAGATGTGAATCAGTGGCGTAAACAAAAAAACGTACCAGAGGGGCCAGAGGGAAGAACAGGACTGACTACACATGACTCTCATGCCTAATCACACAAGGAACAATGTGGAGGGATTCGTTCTTAGTGCTCGATTTTGGAGGTGGTGGAAGTTGTAATATTATGTGCTGCAGATTCCTATTCATTGTTTGGGAGGCTAACAGGATTACAGGTCATTCTTGTACATACAACCATTCCTGGGCAGCTGCCTTAGCCAGATGACCTCACTATAGTGCAAAGAGACCCAGAATCCTAGTCTGTCTGTGTTACTTGGGGGAGGCAAGTTGTTTCCAGTTTCTAATCTATAAAATGAGAGGCCTGGACTAGATGACTTGTAAGACTTTTTATATCCTTTTTAGTGAGTCACAGATCCCCTTTGTTAGTCTGGTGAAGCCTATGGATCCTTTCAAAGAATAGTGTTTTTAAATGAATAAAATTAAATGCATATGGTTGCGAAGGAAACCAATTACTTAAATACAGTTATCAACATATATTTCCCATTCAATTTCACAAATCCCCTAAAATCAAGTTAAGAACCCATGATCTGGGGTCTTTCCTAGAGCAGGAACCACTTCCTGCCCTGTCTCTATCTACCCCTGGAATTCCTTCTTCTCTCCCTTTTTCCCATGGGCTGCTGCCACCTACATTTGTTTCCTCCACCGTACCCTTTACACACACATAGGCATGCCCTTTGTACTTGTCATTTCACCTTGAATGGATCTAAAGTGGCAAGGCTATTGGGAAAGAAATGAATTGAGAACTGAGGGAGAGAAGGAGGTTAACTGCCCCATAGAAAGGATGCTTCTTCTTCCTCCCTAACACTTCTACTCCTTTAAGTCTGGTGTGGATCCTGCCCTAAATCCATATACAATAATAGTGTGGTAATGAGCTGAGCGGGGACAGTCCCCCAAGTCCAATGCCCGCATTTTAATTGAGGAAACTGAAGCCCCAGGAAGTAAAGTCACTCGCCCCAGGTCATACAGGTAGGAAGCTGCAGAATGATATTCAAACCCAGGTTCTTTGGCTCTGATTCCTTTGTTCTTTATGTTATACCATGCTGTCCTGCTCTTTAGCCCAGAACTCCAGTCCTTTACCCAATTCTCATGGAGCCCAATTCTTTTCTTCTGAGGTAGATTTTCATCTTCTTTCAGTCCTTCAAATACTCACAGTCACAGAAAGTTTTATTGAGCTGCTGCTAGCCACTTGAACCAACTTATTTATGCCTCTGTCTTTCAGGCAACAGGGCATCTAGTAACAGCGGCCTTCTACCCCTGGAAAAAATAGATGGTTTGACATGAGCCTTTGTAGTAGAAATGTTATGGAATCAAGGATCCTAAGGTCATTTGATTTACAAAGGAATTTTAATTGTCTTCTGTATTCGGGGGGGGGGGGGGATTACTAACCAAGGGAATCAGAATAGGTCCCTTGTGGAAGGAGGCCCTTGAGATTGTCCTTTAAGGGAGCTAGCGATTCTGGAAGATGGAGGAACAGAGCGAGATCATTCCAGGCATCAGGGACAGTCTAGATAAAGGAATAACATCATGAGTGGCAAATAGCAAAAAGGCCAGTTTGGCTGCAACTTAGAAAGCATTAAAGGAGTAAATAATCTGTTCTAAATCCCTCCACTAGAATAACATCAAGCTTTGTACTGTGATAGCCTTCTTGGTAAGGACTTGAAATTAGTTTTGGCCTTCTGGGACCATTCCTAATAGGAATAAGTTCCCTTTTTATTTAAAGTAGAAGTTCTCAAAATATGTTCTCTGGAAATCCTGGAGTCCCTTTCAGGAGGTCTGTGAGGCCAAAACTATTTTCACAATATTACTAAGGTATTTTTTACTTATTGACGTATTCCTCCATCTTCCAACTACATAGCTGTGTGAGGTATATTTTCTTCTTTTTTCTTTATTTGAGCCAGGTATTGGGTTTGGCTTGAAAGGAGACTCACATGTGAGATTAGAATAATAAGGCAAAGAAACCTGAAATACACTTATATAGTTGAACAGAGGGGCTTGATCTGCTGATAGGAGGAAACCACAGGAGTGTGGAGGTGAGGTATGATAGGATGAAAGGAACAGGTGAAATGTTTTGAATCTGAGAATTAAGATCATCTTTCTATTCTTTAAGTAAATGGAAAATCACCTACTTAGGAAAATGAGAATGAATCACTTCACTTATTTTTTTTTGGTCTATTTCCTCATCTATAAAATGAGATTAAACTAGATGCACTCTAAGTTCTGTTCCATGTTTAAATCCCTCCAAAAAAACCAAACACTCAGTAGGTGACATAGATTAAAAAAGTAGTGGAAAAGATTGTTGGTTATAGCATTGAGTTGGTGGTATTCATGGCAAAGAAATCCCAAGTGAGGGGGAAGAGTTTATGTCAGCCCTACTGAGAGATTAAGACTGGAATATTCAGACAGAAATTCCTGGTACTCTGGAGCCAATGGGGAGATGCTGAGGAGGAAGAATGTTTCAAGAAGTTGGAGATAAACTAGGCAAGAACCTGGAACCAGATTTAGAAAATTACTGGGGAAATAGCAAGTGATTTTACCCCATTAAAAATGAAAGGCCAAATGGTTCATTTAAACTCACAGTGAACTTTATAGGATTGAATTTCCTAGATCTTCTGCTGTAAGATATTTCCAGATGTCTGGTTCAGAAACGAGAAGTTTGCCAACAAAAGGTTAGTTTATTATCACCAAGGAGCCCAGAAAGAGTAGGGAGAGGAATGGCAAATGCAATGTTAATTTGATATACGATTACTATGTGAGATGCTGATGAAATACTTATATCAACCAGTCAATCAATGTATTAAGTGCCTACTGTGTGCAAAGCCCTGTGCTAAGTGCTGGGAATACAAATTAAAAAAGAAAAAAAGACAATCCCTGCCCTCAAAGAGCTTACAATCTAATGGGGGAAGACAAAACAAAACATAAAGCTGAAAGATGGTGGGGCGATGGGGAAAGGAGAAGGAAAAATGCACTGTCACTAAGGCACGGTGGAGAACTCAGTTAGGGAAGTCCCAAGGTAGTATAGCAAGGTAAGAAATGAGGAGCTGAGCCAAGCTCCTTGAAATGGAGTTGTACCGTTTGTGGCCCCATCTTCTAAAAAGAGAGGCAGAGGATAGCGATGAGGTAGAAGACCATGGCTGATGAGATCTTACAGGATGATGAATTTATCTCAGTAATGAGCTTGGTAGGATAGAGAAGTCAGAGAACTCCCAAGATAGTTCAGCCAGGTCAGAGATGAGAAATGAAAGGAAGTGAAAGGAGGGAGAAATAAATCCAACTATTGTGTGTTTTGTCCATTCTGGCCAAGACCAAGGGCACTGCTATCGATATGTCTTTCTTCTCATTTATCTCTAATTTTCCTTCTCTTCAAATTATTATTTATAGATGGAATAACCAGAACCCTACAAATATTGCTGGAAGTTGTACCCTCAGAAGTACCCACAGAAGATAAGTCATGATCAGTCGAATTCCAAAGAAGGCACTGTATGTTGATGTCCCATCTGAAAACAAATGGAAAATGAGAAACTGCTTCTTGGGATTCCAGAGGATTACAAGACTGAGTTACAGCTTAATGGAGACAATTATCTTCAGCACTAGTTTTCTTATGTGTTCAAACCTGTGTTTAAGACGTTTAGGTGTACCTTCAGGTACATGTGTAGACAGCTGGTAGGCTTTTCTACCACCATTAACACTGCTCCTTTTAGGGACAGACACCTTTTGTGGGCAGGGGAAGGAGGACATAGAATGACAAATTACTCTAATGACCTTTCTTTGTGACATTATCTTACTGAATCCTAGGGTCTTCAAATTGAAGGCCATTGGTTATTTTCTGTATTAGTATTTTACAAATGGTTTTATATACTGTAGGTAGATGTACTGTGAAAAGTGTCCTCTGCTCTTTGAACATGCAACTCAGCACTCCTGTGACATGAGAATGGGTGACAGAGGTACACCTCAATTTTAAATCTTCAACCCATATGCCTTCCTCTTTGTTTTATTTGCACTGTATTGGTTCTCCGAATACAGTCACACTGGTTTAGGTATCACTGTTCCTTTTTAATGAACTGGTCCCAGGACATTTGGGATGGGAGAGAAAGGATGTGGCTCATTTTCTTGAGTGCATTAAAACAGTAACTTTGGGCTTATTGTTTATCAGGCAGGGCCCTGTAAGAAATTGGACATTTTGCAAAGTCCTTTTATTCTTTGTGAGGTGAGTGAAGTGGAAAGGATACAGGTCTTCACCCTTTCCAAATCAGTCCATTTGGTCTTGAAGCCTCACAGTAAACAACTGAGTTTCAAGAACTAGATGTTTTTAGCTCCTGATCTCACCTGGAATAAATTTCCTATTGAATATATGAAAAGAAACTTTTTTTTTTTTGTATCTTCAAAGAACCAACATCAACATTAAAGGTGATTCACCAAGGAGGGAGGGGGGAAATTGCCCAAACCACATCCTTGCACTCTTATCTGTTGTTTGCACTGTTTCTAACTTAGGAGGAGATTTTTGTATTTCAATAATTTTACAGACTGACAAATTTTAAGATTTTTAAAGTGTTCCTATCTTTTATACATAATTTTATTGAAAAAGAAAAATAGCTGAGTAAGATAGTATGATATACTGAATAAACACAACTGGGACAGAAGTGATCTTAATTTTAGGCCAGCCTCCCACAAATGTGGTAGGTGACGTTGGCTATATAACTTTATCACATTGGGCTTTAGTTCCTTCATATCTGAAATTCAGATATATAACTCTGAACTTTTGCACCTTGTGAGACAGAGAATGGGGAGGGGGATAAAGTAGAACGAATTCACTTGGGGGTAGTTTGCAAGGAGAAGAGGTGCACCTTATGGTATTTTGGTACCATCCAAAATTCAAATGTTGATGACATGGGGCAAATCCCAGGTTTCCCTGTCCTAGTTAAACTTCTGGTAAAATAAAAGGGCTGAATTCTGAACATCTCCAAGTTTATATTCTATGGTTCTATAAACTTCAGATTGTTTAAGGAAAGATGACTACTTACATGAAAGACTGAGGGGTAGGTATGTGAGAATGCCACTGTTACTAAAGATTTACATTCAGTTTAAGAATTCCCAGTACTTTTCCTTGACATTGTCAGTAATTTCAACACAGAGATCAATTTTACTTGCAAAGAGGAAATATGTGACAAAAGTATTTGAAAAAAGAATGAGAGAGAAGTGTGTATTTGCATGTGTGTTTATGTGAGTGTGTGTGTAATTGTGCTGTGCACCTGCACTGTTCCACAGGAGAGGAAGAAGGAATGAAAGGAAATTTTTAAAAAAGGATGCTTTTAAAAATTGAATCAAAGCAGTGATGAAGTTAATGAACTCTTTAGTTTTACACAAGTCTAATTATAAAGTTCTAATGGTGGACAGATTCCTATCCTCTAGATGGTCTCCATGATATTAATAATAATAGCTAGAATTTGCCTACCATGGTCCAGATGCTTTACAAACCTCATCTCATTTGCTCCTTACAATAACTTTGTGAGGTAGGTGCTGTTATCCTCACCGTGCAGTTGAAACTGAAGTAGACAGAGGTGTAAGTGACTTGCCTTGGGTGACAGAGCTAGTAAGTGTCTGAGGCCAGATTTGAACTTGGGTTCCTCTAACTCCAGGCCCAGAGCTCTATCTACTGCTCTACCTAGCTGACCCCATTTTGCATACATGGAAACTTCAGTTCCAGAGACAGGAAGTGACCAAAGTCACATAAGCATAAAATGAGAAGCATTTTATGAATGCACTAATTTTATGAGAAGCACTAAGGCAACTTTTGAGGTGCCCTCCAATCCTCTACCTATGTTTCCGTAGGTTATGGAGTATTTAGTTGCTCCTTCATCTCTTCCTCATGTTAATTTTCTTCTACTATATTGACCAAAGCCAGATTAATATTGATATTGCCTGTAGAAATTAATGCTTCATTACCTGCTGACTTTGGTAACATAAGGATAAAACCACTATCAAATATACTTTATTTTTTTAAAAATGAAGATGCTAGAATGCTATTATGACAAAATTTTATTGGTAAAAGCACTATCAAATATATTTCATATTTTTAAAAAAGGATATGCTGCAATGTTATGATAATTCTATTGCTAAAAACACTATCAAATATACTTTGCATTTTAAAAAAATGTATATGCTGGAATGCTAATATGAAAAAATTTTATTGGTAAAGTCACTATTGAATATATTTCACATTTTAAACAATGGATATGCTAGGTTGTTATTTGACACAATTTTATTGGTAAAGTCAGTATTAAATGTATTTCACATTTAAAAAATGTATATGCTGGAATGCCATTATGACAAAACTTTATTGGTAAAACCAATATTAAATATACTTCACTCTAAAAAAAAATATACTGGAATGCTATTGTGACATAATTTTATCTAGGCTAAACATTTTAGTTCAGTTGACTATTTTTAAAAGTTATGGCAGCTTTCAAAGTTTATTTCTTTGAGGAGATCATTTGTAACTTTTTTTTAGGGGGGGGTAATTGATCCAATTTTTATTGTGGATTGTTTTGACATGTCTTCCTAATTCAACAAATGCTCATTTTTATTTGGAGATTATTTTATAATGAGTAAAATTTTTGATTGATCTATTTTATTTTATTTTTTTAATAGCAAAGTATTTAATTGGAACGAAATTGGGACGAGAAAAACAAAATGGTTTTTCAACTCTCCTGATCCCATCCAATCTCTCATAGACCCTCCTGCTAGTGTGGAAAGAACATTCCTTAGAGAACTTGTGGTTCTAAGTGACAAAGGGTTACATTGTGGCTGGAACCCTCTTTTAGCTCTGCCTCCTGGCAAACAGTTGTGCCTTCTGACTGATCTATTTTATAAAGGAATTTGCTATTGTGTGCACCGTAATTTTACAAGCATGCCTATATAAATATATGTGTACATAACAGCAATTTAGAGTAGGATAATGGTAACCATGGTTAGCACATTAATAAAAACCCACATACAATAGATAGGTATTTTTTTTTCTTGAGTAGGGAATTTAAAACATCTTTCTTTTTTTTATCTCAGTAACTTTGGTTCAATAAACATTTGTTAACAAATTGCCTCACCAAAAACAAACAAAGAAACAAACATTTGTTACACGCCACTTTATCAAAATATTTTGGAAATATCATGTGACTTTTTTGGTTTTATGAAAAAAGATAGTGAAATTTATGAAATAATTTTAGATTTATGGACAATTATTCATAAAACATTGCTTGCATTATACTTTTTAATCCAATTTTCAAAGAAGGTTTTTTTTTTTTCTGAGATCTTTCTTTTACTCAAATGAGGCCGTTCCAAATGATAGCTGACTTGGGGCAGAGCCATGACTACCATTTTTTTTGCATTCAGGACTGGGAACACAAAATATGCCTGGGCAAGTATGGCAAAACGCATAGTGCTAAGGAGGATCTACTATGCTAGGGGCAAAGGAGGAGAGGAGAAAGCTCTTCTAGGGTAGCTATCTATTTCAGCAATTCTTACTTAATAGGTATGAAGCTCAGCTATTTCTAGATATTTAAAAAACAAAAAATTTCAGGTTTAGGCTATCCTCTAAATTTCAGCACCCTGGGTCAAGTTGCAGTGGCCCCATCCTTAGGCTGATGTCTTCATTTGGAAGCACATTCTGCTCTTTACTTACTGCAGATGGTGAGACTCCATTATTAAATTTAAATATTTAGTATTTTTTTGGGGGGTGATGAGAGTGGTGAAAGGGAATTAGGCAGATCTGTTAGCAAAGGATGGTAGCTTTTTTTTTTTCTCTACCTGTAAATGAGATTTTTCAGGCTATCATGTTGATGTGTCTGGTAACACCCAAACTTTAGCTGTTGTACTAGAAAATAGCTTAAAGTAGACAAGCTTACATGACTCAGTGAAAATTATTCACAGACTGGCTCAGGAAGCACTATTCGGTCTAATTTGCACATGAGTTATGTTAAGAAGGAGAGAACTTTTGCTATGATCCCTTGTGCTTAAGTCACTGCTAATGTAAAGAAATGGAAGTTAAGGTCAGAGTAAGAGGAAATGGGACATAGTGAGTAAATGGGTATACATATTTCAGTGTCAGTTTCTCGGGAACATGGAGGTTCTGGGCTTTTGAATACCTTTATGAGAAGAAAGCATAAAGTTTAATTCTGTGCTGGGCAAGTATAGCCCAACTGTAAAATGGTAGAATGGATTCTCTGATTTTTTTTTTATTAGGAAAATGTTCTGGGGGATATTTGCAGGAGCTCTTAAAATTACACATAATGTGTTAAATAGAGAATTATTAAATAAGTAGCTTTTTCATGTAATTAGGGAAGAAAAATATACTTCAGTTATATCATACGCGATAGTTCTATGTAAAGGGAAATAAAGCATTTTTCTTAGTGTAAAAGAAAAGACTTGGGATTTGAAATGCAGAACACTTATGAAAGTTATCTCTTTGGCTCAACCTATCCTAGATTAAGTGCAATCTATTAATACTGGTATTAATTAAAGATTCAAATAACAACCTAGATTCTATCGTCAGAGATTAACCATTAAGAGCCTAGATGAAAAATACTTTGTCAGGTAGCATGTCTGCTTACCATTTCCTGTTTACATTTCTTTATATTTAAAGATTTTATTTTAAAGATAAAGGTGCCACTCCTACCTTAACAGAATTTTAAAAAATTAAAACATTTCTTTCTAACATCACAATTCTTAAAAGTGAGTGTTAATATAATTTAATACAGATTGTGTCAATATTTAGAAGAGAATGTCCGCTGGGGCCCAATTTCCTTGGAAACATCTACCTGTAAATATTAGAGAATAAGATGTCTTACTTTTTAATTCTTGCATTGTCAATTTCAATTATGACTAAAATTAGTGATTGGATTTTTCTCATTGTTAGTACTTGCTGGCAAGGGGCCCTTTTCTACCCAGAGTTAGCTAATTTTTTTATTGTTAGGAAATATTGTTCCTCCTGCCTACCTCAACAGGAAGTTGATATATAGTCACTGAATAGAATTTTACCTTCTCTTCCCACCCTTGAATTTCATCTACTGACTGACTTATGTTGACAAATGGAAGATTATTGGTCCTCATAATGTTTTACAGCATGTTTTGATTGTTAACAGAGTAAAGGGTCTGGAGATAATGCTGCATGATATTAGCCTGAAGAAGACTTAGAAATAGCATAATAGAGGTTTTTCAGTATTGGAGGGGTTATCATGTGAAGGAAAGATTAGACTTAGTCTGCTTGGCCCAAGGATAGCATTAGGAATTATAGGTAGAAGTGACAGAGAGGCAGATTCAGGTTTGATGTAGTGAAGAAAAAAAATAATCCCCAAA